ATGAATGGGGGAGGGGCAGAGAGAGAGGGAGACACAGAATCGGAAACAGGCTCCAGGCTCCGAGCCATCAGCCCAGAGCCCGACGCGGGGCTCGAACTCACGCGAGATCACGCGAGATATCGCGAGATCGTGACCTGGCTGAAGTCGGCCGCTTAACCGACTGCGCCACCCAGGCGCCCCTGTTTGAAAATTTTTATACTAAAACGTTAAGGTAATTACAAAAAGCGACCTTTCCCACACTAGCATTTCCTGCTAGGAAATGTACGTAAGTCGTAACCAAAAACATGCTTACCAGTTGCTAAGATATACTGTCCATCTTTTGACACCTTAATAGTGGTACAAACGGTAGGCATTTCAAAATCCTGAATAAGTTCAATTCTCCTACGGACATCTGCAAAGACAGGAAGTAAAGAACCGATTTCACGACCAGGTGCTCATTGTAGCTCCTAATACCCAGCATGCAGACAGTCACTACGAACAGGTCAACAATGTCCCAGTGCCTCCAAGCCTCGGAATACAGCCCCACCCATCACACAGGAAGGCTTTTTCTTAGCTCATACCTTAGCTTTCTAAGCTTAGTATTTTTTACTTTAAAAAAAATTTTTTTTAAGTTTTTATTTATTTTTGACAGAGACAGAGTGCAAGCATGAGTGGGGGAGGGGCAAAGAGAGAGGGAGACGCAGGATCCGAAGCGGGCTCCAGGCTCCCAGCTGTCGCACAGAGCCCGACACGGGACTCGAACTCACGAACTGTGAGATCGTGACCTGGGCCGAAGTCGGACACTTAACCGACTGAGCCACCCAGGCGCCCCAGTATTTTTTACTTTTTAAAAACTATCATCACTAATTGAAAAAAAAAAAAAAAATGTCCACGGTGGTATATCAAACATCCAGTTTCAAGAGCCAGATAAGGGGGGAACACAACAAATATTAAACCACTATCATTACTCAGTCACGGCTAAGACAAAAATCTTACCATTTTTTTCCTCCTAAATAAGTTTAGGGGTGCCTGGGCGGCTCAGTCGGTGGGGCGTCTGACTTCGGCTCAGGTCATGATCTCACAGCTTGTGAGTTCGAGCCCCATGTCAGGCTCTATGCTAACAGCTTGGAGCCTAGAGCCTGCTTCCAGATTGTGCGTCTCCCCCTCTGCCCCTCCCCTACTCATGCTCTGTGTCTCTCTCTTTCTCTCTCTCCTTCAAAAAACAAACATTAAAAAAATTGTTTTTAATTTAAATCTTCAAAATCCTAAGTTTATGTAAGAAACTGCTGGCAAGCTGACTTTGCCTCTGTTGGCACCAGGGTTCTGAGCCAAGAGGACCCAGACTGGATTAAGATTTAGAGCAATCTCTCTGGATCAAAAGGCTTGAACACGGACTCTCACAAAATCTGGTTCCCTTCTACAATCCACACGATGTGTCTACTACAAGGACCATTTATGACTCCATGGCACATTACTGCCTTGCTTATTAAATTAAACCCAAATATAAGATTCAAACCAACTGAGTAGGAATGGCCCACTCAATATGAAAGACACATGATAGTTTTGAGACGGGCTGAGAGAAAGGGTTGATGAACAGTTTTTCCTGTAAGTAATCTGAATCTCTTTTCTACACTCTAGGCCACTGGGTAGAACGTGGGGGAGGGGGGGAGTGGTCAGAAGAAATCGGAATCAGGGAACATTACTAAAGGAGCAGTTCTTGTTTTCCTTGGATTCAAAGTTTCCATTTTCTAACTTCAGAACTATCTACACAAAGCCGCCTCTTCCAAGATGCGTGCCTTGGGGTATTTATCTCGCACACACAGAAATCCCTTCCGACACCTTAGTCTTTGATTTTTAGAGACTAATTTAAACAACATATATGGAAAGATAAATCATCTTTCACATGTGACAAGCTGTAATGGAGAAAATTTGCCAAAAATCTGTTCGAAACAAAACTGATCAATGTCTTAAACTTATGAATCCGGAAAAGAACGATTCAGTGTGACACCCGAATTCTGGCAGCTAATGTGAGACGAACGTCCGAGCACATAAAGGTCGCCCCTAAGGTGACAAGGCGACCCACCTACACGGTGGGATGCCCGGGAGCTGCGATCTGCCCCTCCCTCAAAAAAACAACTAATCTTCTATCTTTCCCTATCCTTCCCAGCCAGTATAAATTAAAGAATGTAAATTTTCTGCAATTATCCTTTATGAAAAAGATGCTGACGTGCTGGAGAACAAAGCAGTCACGGCCCTGCTAGGAGAGACGGCCTTCCTCGGGTCTCCCGCATCCCCGCCCACCTTGCTAGGTCCCGCAAGACTGCCGTGCCCCGGTCGCGCCTTCGCCTGAGCCGTCTCTCAGGGGTGTCTGCGCGGCCGAGAACCCTGATGGGTAAGGGAACGTGTCTCCTCTGGACAAACGGCAGGCTTGCTCACTGCGGCTACAGAAGCAGCGGACTTCCCGAGCTAGGTGTGGCTCAGCTGCAACACAGACCCAGTGTGCCTGCAGCCACCTGGGCCGTGCTGAGTGTCCCTGCGGGACTCAGGGCAAGGGGAGCTGGCAGAGATACGCTGATGCTCATGCCATCTGCTGTGCCAAGCTGGGGTTCTCATCTCCGACCCAGGAATTTTGTCTCTTCCACTACTATCCGTGAAATCGTTAACAGGCTAACTCACTTTAAGTAGGTAGAATTCAACCTCACACCCACCAGGAACATAACAACCACAACAAAAGGTTTTTAGGAAGGAAAAGGGCAAAAAGTTTATTTCCCACTTTTTAACTGCCCTGTATCTTTGTCAACCTCCACTTAAATATGATAACAAATGTGTGAAAGCACCGTTGCATAGGTCGTGCACGTAGCCAGGGTGGGGAAAAAAATACTCACCGACATCCTTCTTCTGTAGTGCTCTCTTCTTCCTGTCAGAAAGCCACTTAAAGAAAATGAAGAGACTTTATTTTAAAACAGATTTACTTTGCTTTCCTGCTTACCAAAGTGCTCACATTCAAAAAGTTAAAACTTTACAGGAATATATTAACAGAGGAAGTGAAAAGATTCTATAATCCCAACCCTGTTAACATAGCCCCCGGGTTTTTTTTTCCTTGTATATATTTACATATATTAGACAATACATTTTATTCATCTTAGTTATTATTTTTTTAGTGTTTATTTATCTTTGAGAGAAACAGAGCGTGAGCCAGGGGAGGGGCAGAGAGAGGGAGACACAGAATCCAAAGCAGGCATGGGGCTCAAACCCACAAACCATGAGATCATGACCTGAGCTGAAGTCAGATGCTTAACCGACTGAGCTATCCAGGCGCCCCTAGACATTTTAGAACCACTATGTTTTACCCAAGAGAAAACTAATTCATTGGGAAAGTAATAAGCCTCAAATATTAGGAGGGTTACCACTAATATATGGAACAACTTTATTTAGGTCAAATATTAAAAAGCAAACCATTAAAAGGAGAAAGTTTCTTGAGCATATTTTTTACAAAGAACAAAACTAGATCATTAAGCAAATAGCTGACACTTAATAATACGGAAATGATGCTTTTAAGTCATACTCACTGACAGATTTTTTTTTTTGAGAGAGACAGTGCGAGCGAGCACGCAAACCAGGTGAACGGCAGAGGGAGAGCGAGAATCTTAAGTAGGCTTCATGCTCAGCGTGGAGCCTAACTCGCGCTCCATCCCATGACCCTCGGGATCGTGACCTGAGTCAAAATCAAGAGTCAGACGCTCAACAGACTGAGCCACCCAGGCACCTCTGGGAGCAGATTTTCTTCTGAAATTAACGTAGCTCAATTTAGCAGACGGCGTAATTCTAAAGCCCAAGTCTTTCAGGAGGCCTAGCTACCTCCTCCCCATTCGTGAGGCCTCCCCGGCTACAGTTGTTTGCACAAAGCAGCTCGGATGAAAGCTTCCAACAGCACTGGCGGGAACACCCTAACTTCCCACTTGAGCCTACAAGGCCCACCTCTCCAGCCTTACCTGCCCCCACTGTCTCCCCATAGCATGCCACAGCCACACCCGCGCCTCTTCGGCTTCTCCAACATGCCAAGGGCATTCCCAGTTGGGGACATTTACGCTTTCTATTCCCTCAACACTGAAAACTCTTTCCCCGTCTTTTCATTATCCAAGTTTCTGCTCAAATATCACCTCTTATAGAGAGGCCTTCCCTGAAGGCTTTATCCAAAACATTCTCTGACCACTTTCGCCACAACGCTCTTTCTTCTTTTCCAATTTTTATTTAAATTCTAGTTAGCTGACATACAGCGTAACATTGGTTTCAGGAGTAAAATTCAGTGATCAGTCACTTACATATAACACCAGCGCTCATCCCAACAAGTGCCCTCCTTAGTGCCCATCACCCATCTAGCCCATCCCCCCACCACCTCCCTCCAGCAACCCCCAATCTGTTCTCTATCGTAAGAGTCTCTGTGGTTTGTTCCCCTCTCTCTTTCTTCCCCCTCCCATATGTTCATGTATTTTGTTTCTTAAATGCACAGCGCTCTCTTCTAGTCCATTCATCGAAGCTGTCTTCCTGTTTGCTCACTTCTCCTTTCCCCCAACAGGGAAACTTATCACCATGTATCCCAACACTCAGAACAGGGCTACCGGCACGTAGTTACTTCTCAACTAATGCGCAGAATGACCAAAACGAGAAAGATCATGCTGTGTGATGAACAGTCGGAAGATGAGGAATTAGCTGGCCTGAATTCTGAAAAGAAAGGCAGACTCTAATCACAGACTCCAGATCTTTCGGGGGCAGGCACAGCGAAGAAGAAACAGCTCTTCGTTAATTCAGATTTCTAAGGGCAAGAGTGGAACTAACACCAGCATGCTATAAAATGACAAGTTTCAACACCAGTATCTAGCAAGTAATCTTAAAATGGAAATGAGCTTCTGCTAGAAGTTTCTTCCCACTGGCAGTGCCTGGACAGAGGCTTGCTCATCGCTTATAAGAAATTTAAAAAAAAACAAGCCGCAGATCATAGATGGGTGAGCTTGGACAACTCACTCTTGCCATCGCTGGATCTGCTGCATACCTTAAACATGTGAAGACGACTGTAAAAGAATCACTATTTTCCCAGCTCCTTCAAACTCTGAGGTCCTAAGACCCGATGAAATCAAGTTAAGGTCGGCAAGGTTCAGAAACACCGCCCTCTACACCACAGAAGTCTGCAGGTGCAAAGTCTGTGTGGGTTTTCTTGCTCACTTGCTGTATCTCTAGAACTTGCCGTACAATACGAATCCAACAAACAGCTGATGCGTGGACATTAAAATGGGGGAGAAATGCCCGCAACCCGTCTGTCCACGCTTTCCTCCTCGGTGCGGCAGAAGCTGGGAACATCCCCAGAAGCCCCAAAGGACGCGCGTCGCCTGTTCTAGAGAACTCTGCAAAAGTTCCAGCGAAGCTCATCGCCCCTGATCACCCGTCGCCCAGCTTCTGGCGCGGGGACAGCAGTGTCCTCGACGACCGGCACCTACCAGCTCCCGCGGGCACGGCCACTTGCCCCCCGGGCCTCCCCGAGCCAGGGGCAGGCCAGGGCCAGGCTAACACGGAGGCCAGGGCCGAGGAGTGGGGCGGCTGCCTCGAGAGGCGGGGGACCCCGAAGTGCCTCACCTCAGGCAGGGACTTGCCGCAGCTGAGACTGTAAATCTTCACCTCGTTGAGGCTGGACACCTGCATGGCCGGACAGAGCAGCGGCGACCCACGTTCCTCCGCGAGCCCCTCTCCCCGCGCCACACGCGAGCATCCGAACCGCAGCGTGTCCCCGGCGCGACTGGGCGGCGTGCGGCGCTGGCGACGGCTGATGACGCACTCGCGGCGCCGGAACTGCGCCAGTTCCCGGAGGAGGGGGCGTGGCCGAATGGAATGGAGCGGCTGGGGGCGGGGCTCTGTCCAGGCCACCCCGAGTGCGGGAGGGCTGGGAGCCGCGCAGTCTCCCCTGCGCAGTGCGTGCGTTGACACTCTCCTGGGGTCGCTGTCCTGGCCGAAGTGTCGCCGCCCGACTGGGGCAGGCGGTGCAGGCCGGCGACCGGTGGCCTGGGGGGCTGGGTCAAGGGAACCCATCCAGCCCCTGGGCAAATCCAGAGTATTCAGGGTGGATTCTTCTCTCCTCCACCGTGTTTCTTTCAGCAACGTTACATTACAAATAAGTGCTCTTTAAAGTTGACGTATAAAAATGTTACTTGCGGGGGTGCCTGGGTGGCTCAGTCAGTTAATCGTCCAAGTCATGATTTTGTCTCAGGTCATGCATGATCCCGCTCTGAGAGCCTGCTTGGGAGAATCTCCCTTTCTCCCCCTCTCTCTCAAACATTTTTTTTTTTTTAATGTTACTTTCGTCTAGATTTGTTCGACACTCATCCACAAAGGAGTGAAAGAAAAGAAAAGGCAAACTAAGGAAAAAGAAAACGATAAAAGAAGGCGTAGTCGGGGCGCCTGGGTGGCTCAGTGAGTTAACCGTCCGATTTCTCAGGTCATGATCTCATGGCTCGTGAATTCGAGCCCCACATCAGGCTCTGTGCTGACAGCTCGGAGCCTGGAGCCTGCTTCGGATTCTGTGTCTCCCTCTCTCTCCTACCCCTCCCCTGCTCACACTCTGGCTCCAAAAGTGAATAAACATTGTTTAAAAGTGTGTTTTTGTTTTTGTTTTTAAAGGAGTGGACACCAAGGGTGAAGTGCTTTGGAACCTGATGTCTTTTGAGACACGTGTGTGACAGCAACGACAGACAGAAAGTTCACAGACTGTGGATTGTCCAACTGCATAGAGAACTGCCGTTACTGCTGCCTAGCTGTGAGAAGTGCAGAATTTTCCGCTCAGAGGAAAACTTAAGGAGAAAATGCAGGTTAACAGCAGTCAAACGTGTCCGTTTAAAATTGTAACATAGTATTCACATCCCTTACCTATAGCTGAGGTGGGTCATTTGGGGCACAGGCTTTATTAGTTCATGGCAAGGCGAGGGCTTCTGTGGGGCTTTAGCAATTTTGTTTTTGTTGTAACTGTCCTCAAAGTTCCCGTCCAGATTCTATCTTCTGCTTGAGAGTTTCTTTGAGGAAATATGCAGGAAACCTCCTTGGGGTGGCAGTATGCCACGGTAGAAAGGTCATGGGTTCATAAGAATCGTAAAATAGGTCTGTTAAGCAAGTCATAAAAAAAGAAAGCACTTATTTTCCAAAATATGCAGGATGATTTCCAAGAAATCTTGAATACTTTTGTACAAAAATGATTACTTCTATTATTTCAAGAATGTATTGTAAAAGCCCATTGATTGTAAAACACAATAGAATCTCAGTGCTGTGTGTTAGATAGAAGATATATAGATCTATCGTACTAATTTTTGATAATTAAGGGCCCAAGGCCATTTCACCAGACAATCTGATTTCCCACTGACTCCTAAATTTGCCTTCTCATTCATTAGTACTGGTTTCATTATTCTAGTTTTGAATCTTTGCTTCCGCTAATCTGGATTCTGCAATGCCTTCCATTTCTCCTTATATCCAGATTCTACCAGCTCCTCAAAACTCACCTTTTGAACACCTTGCTCAGTCTCCTATGTGTTCACTGTACTGCATAAATAACTTTGTGGCCATTATATCTTTTTGCTAGATTTAAAAATTTTTTTTTCATTTTAGAGAGACAGAGTGAAAGAGCTGGGGAAAGGGTAGAGGGAGAGAGAGAGAGAGAGAGAGAGAGAGAGAGAGAGAGAGAGAATCCCAAGCAGGATCTGCACTCAGTGCAGAGTCCGATGCAGGGCTTGAACCCACGGACTGTGAGGTCATGACCTGAGCTGAAATCAAGAGCTGGACGAGCAACCGGCTGAGCCCCCCAGGGGCCCCCAAAGTGTAATAGTATGTGAAACGCATGTATATATCACCCAGCTTCAACAACGCACACATGACCCATCATGTTTCATTTACACCCTCACCACTCCCTCATCCTTGGGTGATTTTGAATAATTTTGAAGCAATTCTGTGGCAATTATCTCTGCGGGCTGTAAAGTACTTGTCTGACCACCCCCTCCATCCAGACCTGGTGGCAACCCTGAGCCTTAATTCATCTCTGGGTTCTCTGGGCCCAAACCAATGCCTAGTAGGTGGCACACTTTCAATAAGTATTCCTTGATAAAAATGAATCGATTAATTTATCACTGCTCATCCTGACCCAAAGTCCTAATTCTTTGATCCTTACATCTTGGCCTTTGGTAATATTAAAAACAGCAGATCTCTATTCCAGATGATTATGGTTTCAAACGCATCCATTTAAACATCTTGTGTCTCAGAGAGCCTGGGTGGCTCAGTCGGTTGAGCGTCCAGCTTCGGCTCAGGTCCTGATCTCACGGTTTGTGGGTTCGAGCCCCACGTCGGCTCTGTGCTGACAGCTCGGAGCCTGGAGCCTGTTTCAGATTCTGTGTCTCCCTCTCTCTCTGCTCCTCCCCCACTCATGCTCGTCTCTCTCTCTCTCTCGAAAATAAATTAAAAAACATTAAACATCTTGTGTCTCTAACAAGAAATGTCGGAGCTTAGAGTCAGGAGCCACACGCGAGGGAACACAGTGTTTTCTGCAACATAAAACAAGGTGTTCTTGGTCCTCAGTGCCAAGACCCCTCCTTCCCCACAGTCACTGGCCTGAGGGTTTGACCTGCCACACTCTAGGGTTGTTTTCCACTGAGAACAGAAGGGCAAAGCTCGGTGCAGTTTCTCTGGTGTTTCTAGGATCACCTATAACACAAACACTCAGTTCCTGGGATGTGATGAATTTTGAATGAAGTGCTTATTAGATGCCTTTGCTTGGAGCTAAGAGAACGGACTCTAGAGCCAGATTTCCCGGGTCCAAATCCTGATTCTACCACTGGCTACCCAGAGAGAGCCTTGATACAGAGAGTTAATCTAATCTCTCTCTACCTCTGTTTCCCCATTTGAAAAATGAGGATAATATTAGAACCTACAGGGGCGCCTGGGTGGCTCAGTTGGTTAGGCAGCCAACTTCGGCTCAGGTCATGATCTCACAGTGTGTGAGCTCGAGCCCCACGTCGGGCTCTGTGCTGACAGCTCAGAGCCTGGAGCCTGCTTCATTTTCTGTGTCTCCCCCTCTCTCTACCCCTCCCCTGCTCACGCTCTGTGTCTCTCTGTCTTTCAATAATAAATAAACGTCAAAAAAAATTAAAGAAAAATATTAGAACCTACATCAGAGGGCTGTTGTAAAGATGAAACGAGAATAAGCCATAAATCATTGAGTCCAGGACATCTATTTTTTACATCCTTGAAATCAGTGCGTTTTGTATGTCATGCGTGTTTAGTAGACAGTGTTTTTTCCTCTAGTGATGCTTGAGGTAATGGTGCATCTTATCGCTAATGGGTTTTCAGATTCAATAAAATACAATACAGATAAAGCACTTGGAACAGCGCCTGACATTGTAAAAACTATGCATTAGTTAGTATTACTTGGCCCTGGGAACCAAAATATTTAGAACTGTTTAAGAAAAAAGGAGCCGGGGCGCCTGGGTGGCTCAGTCGGTTGAGCGGCCGACTTCAGCTCAGGTCACGATCTCGCGGTCCGTGAGTTCGAGCCCCGCGTCGGGCTCTGTGTTGGCAGCTCGGAGCCTGGAGCCTGTTTCGGATTCTGTGTCTCCCTCTCTCTGACCCTCCCCCGTTCATCCTCTGTCTCTCCCCGTCTCAAAAATAAATAAACGTTAAAAAAAATTTTTTTTAAAGAAAAAAGGAGCCAAATTTAGGCTCCAAATAACTTACATGTCCTGTTATTCGTTGCCATTGCAGAAACTTGCAAGTAACGTTCAAGATCCCTCTCTCAATCTTTGCCTCCACGCCCAATCGATCCCCAAATCCTTTCCATTCTACTTGTCAGATGTCAGACCCATTCTTCTCTACTCCCACTGTTGTTGTAGGAGTTCAAACCTTCATCCTCTCTCACCTGGCCCATCATAATCCTTTTTTCTGGTCTCTGTCTCCCACGGGAGACAAAATCATCTCTAACAGGAGAATCGGATCATACCACACTCCAACTCCGAACTCTTCAGTTCTTCCCAAACCTAGAAGAACACATCTGCACACCTTTGCTGGCCTCTCTGGCCTTCCTATCGCCATACATCATACTGCCCCTCCCCAGCCCCTCTCCCACCCAGCCCCTCACCCACTGCACTCCCCAAGCTGAATTACTTACAGCTTGAAAAGTACAAGACCCCCCCCCCACCTCTTTATGCCTCCACATCTACTCTTCTGACTTCTTTCAACTCCCTCCCTCTACAAACCTCAGTAACTCCCATTCATTCTTCTCCAACCCCAGGAGGTCTTCAAATATCTAAGTTTCTCATCGAACATTGTATATAATCTCACTGCAGTGTTTCTTAAACCGGGGCTTACAGTTGTATTCTCAGAGAAATAGAGGGGTTTGTATTTCAATGACGGTCTTTTTAACAGCCCGACATGAGCGTATCTGATTATCTGCTTGGCCATCTCCTGAGAGTACTACCATTCAGTGTCAATGCCAAGTTTGCATTTAAGTTTACAGTTCACTGGTGCCACGTGTCACTCCTTTTATTGTCTTGCCTCAGTGATTAGAAGGGGAGGTGGCTGGTATGAAGTAACATGATAGGGACAAGTTTGAGCCAAGCAGAAGTCCAACGATGCCATGGCCTGCCGTGGGAAAGAAGGTGTTACGGTCGTTCAAA